GATGTTTTTAAGGAGTTATCGATGCTCAATATACATAACTTCAATATATTTATGTTTAAAACGTAGTATAGAAACATTGTTATCAAATAACATCGGCATCGATGTCGCATCAGAGCCACGCGTCGAGTGGCGGTGTGCCTCGTAATAAATAAACCTCGACCTGGAGGGCAGAGTGGCAGGTTTTGCGTTAGTTGCCTCGCGGGCTCGCCGCACAGTAGTCCGCCCCCTTCCCCCTCTCCCATCCACCACCGACAGCACGCCCAGGAGGCGCGTCACGGCACGGCACGCGCCGCTCGCAGAAATAGCGCGCGCACGTCACGCACGCGGCTGCGGTGGCGGAGGCGGCGCCTCGGGAAGGTCACTAACATTGCCCCCGGCAGCGCGGCGCGCCAACCGATGACTGTTCGGCCGGCGGGAGGCGCCGCCCGGGGGATTCCGCCAGGCGATTTGTTTGTTGTGAAGACGGCGTAATGGAGCGTCAAGGGTGGACGAAAATGCTCCTTATTAAATGGGGAGAGGGGGGAGCTAAGTCATTGTGATGTAGAAAACTCTTCTACCTCTTGTAGACGCCTGTAATGTTATGCCACGATCATTCCAGTCGTTAGTTTCTGAGTTCATAATTCATCGCTGTCTCTAGTATGTCTCTCTCTCTCTCGCTCTCTCTCGGCATCGTCTCGGCGTCTCGCTCGTCGCTTCGCGTTCGCTCTTCTCCTCGCTTTGTATATAGTAATTACTATATAAGAATATATATAGTATATGTTATATATAATATAATATAGGGTTGAGAGGGGTTGAGAGATTTTCAGCAGAAATGCAGATGTATTTTTCAACCATAACTACCCACATTCCGAAAGACCTCCAACAGAAAGGTACGAGAAAGGAAATTATTAGTGAGATATCTCATCTCGCCGGATTGAAGATATTTACCTGTCGTCGTAAAAGATGAAATTTACTCCCATAAAATCCACCGCTCGTTGAATGAAATTAGTTTTATTGACAGTGCAGCGCGATGGCGCTGCTCGGGAGAGATGGATTCAATTAGGGTAATTCATTGCATCCGCGTGGATGCGCAGTGGAGGAGACGCACCCAGCCGAAACATTCCGACCCACTTCGCCGTGCGCCGGGTAAACACGTGGGAGGGAAGTGTGGCGGAAAAGCTCTGTCTAGCGCACCGGACGGCCGTTGCGAAGAGCTGTTTACGTTGCTGTAAGTTACCTGTTCCGGCGCTGCCGCAGACGCTCCTACCGAGTGCTTAGCATTCATTGCCGGGAGTGGTTCACGTCGGGATCAGATGGAAATCGAGATTGAGAGCTGCGGTGGGGAACAAACAAACAGATTCCGGCAGGTTGGCTTCCGTCTGTCGCACTCTTGTGTTGCTCCACGGAATCTCACCGCCTGTGGCAATAAATGTGGGTGGGGTATCGAATTTATGTTAATAGTGTAGAGTTGATTTTGTCCATCCCTTCTACGAGAGAACTACTGAACCAAATTCGTCGATATTGTAATCATTCAAAAGATCTGTTAGTATTATTGTTTTACTGTTGTTAATGTATTTCGTTCGTAGTATTATTGAATGCTAACAACCCCCCAAAAAAATCAATGTTCAAGTTGATCAGTTTTGGTATTAAAGAACTGGCACCATTATCTGTGCTGTGCATAATACATTCAGTGAATCCGTCTCAACATGTTTTCTTATATATTATAATATATTACAGTTTCGTTTGCATAAAATTCAGTCAAAAGGCCATGGTGCCTTTCAGGCCAGAGGGCAATAATTTTGACAGATGAAGAATGGTGCGGATTTGCCACTTCGAAAAAATAATGAATGGGAATGTAACACACATCTCTCTCTTTCAATGCCCCGGTCTCACCTAGTTCTCATCAATTCTCTTGCAGAGGTATTTTCATCCTTTAAAAGATTAAGCAAAATACTTCAGGATTCGGCCATTTCATGACTAACTCTCATATCCGATGCGTTAAATTTCTATGCAAAAATAACATTGCTAAGCAGTAACCAACACATAAAGAAGAGATTGTTGTGTTAGTGAAAGGAGCTTAGCAACATTTACGTGATCAGACGGAAGAGCTGGCCTCGTGGCCAAAGTCTCGCCACGGAAAATATGCATTAACTATTAAGAGCGGCTGAACGTTCCTCTTAGGCGTAAGTTTCATAATTCGCGTGTACGTATATAAATATTTTAACAATTATATAGTTTTTAGTATTCGAGTTTGCTTTTTAGGAGGGATAGTTTACCACCACAGTGACCACGTCGTTGCATCACGAGGATAATTTGCCTTTGAGCACCTTTTCTGAGACGCCGCCTGAGGGGTCCGGTCTGTGGTCAAGATACAGAAATAACCGGAGAACGGGAGATTGAACGAAGCTATCGATTCCCTCGGCCTATTGAGGCGCCGGTTAATTTTTGAACGCTTCGCCGCTGCAGCTTCCCACTTTGCTTGGAGGAGGCGAAACTGCTGACTGTTGGACCCGATATTTCGGAGAGTCTGCGAGGGCCCACTCGGGGCGCCGAGCGAAGCTCGCGGCGCCCTGGCGGCGGCGGGGGGAGGTAGACAGAAGGAAAGAGCGGCGATGCTGCACCTCCAGCAAGTTGGTCTTGGAAATCCAGCGTAGAGGAGTTGTTCGTGGCGAACCCTGTTAAATAGAGAAGTTATAAGTGATGCCTTGGAGAATGTTCATTGTCACATTGTTTTATCGTATATTCGTTTCGTATTTCTTTATTTGTAATAAATAATGTTACTGGCCAGCCATATGGCCGAGATCCTTAGGGCAGTAGTGCCGTAGCGGTCTTCGACCAGACGACCGCGGGTTTGAGTCCCGCCTCGGGGTGTATTTGTGTATGTATATATGTGCCGTCCTTTTATTCTTCACCATCCTCATCATCCATTCCTCCAAGCCTAACAAACTTGGGGGATAAAAATCGGGACTCAGCTAAAATGCTAAGACACCCCCTTCCTCAGAAAATTACTTCAACCTGCTGAAGCAGGATGCACGCGTTGTCCAAGTAGGTCTACGTATATGCAAAAAAATCAACAACAAATGTTTGCTATTTGTTTTTATTTTTATTACATGCGTGTGTATAATTTATGATAAGAAACTGATAGTGTTAAAAGCGTTACAATTTTTTCAATTGTTCTATATGTGGTAGAATTCAATATGTATAGTAGGATAATTGGAAAATATATATCTTATAATAAATCCTCTCTTCAACCAAGTGAAACCAAAAATGAAGTACACTCATTATGGAAAATGTAGGATGTTCCTCTGAGTGGAGCCAGAAAATGTTGCTTGATAATGTATGTTTTCATAGTATGTGATAAATTCATGCAGTACACCAAATGAAACGAAAATTGCCTTCAAAACTCCGAAAGCTACGTGAATGATAATGCTAGGTATAAAAGTTTAGTGTAATGTTCTGTTCTTGCAATATCGAAAGTGTATTCCCACAGACGAAGAAACATTTCGCGCCTTTTGATGTCATAATTTTTTTAACTCCTTGAGACAGGTGGTGAGAAGGCGAAACTAACAGAACAGCTTGTATGTGAGTGATGGCCTTGCGAAAGTGAAGGTTTAGCGTTGTGACACCGCGATAGTCGCTTTTATGATTCGGTTCGATTACCGTGAGCTCGACGGCTTCAAGTTTCACACAATGTATAGCCCGATTTAAATGTTGTGTCCTTTCAAGGTCACGAGATGACAGAAGAGGGGGGAACACACTCATCTAACTGGGAGCTTCAATAACAAATCTTTAAGTCGTAACTAATATCTCTAATGGATAACGATGCCCTCATCCTTCGCCATCTTCTTCCATCTCGTGACCTTTAAATGACATTACAATAGTATCAGGGCGGCTCCACACATTCGTTATTTGGCGCGTAGCGAGCAACTGCTCACCGAATCCCAAGAAGTGTGGGTGAGTTGCTAGCAATTTGGCTAGTGACGAACATTTCGTGTCGGTCTTTAGGACACATTCAAGAGAGCGAATATTCACCGAAGACTTCATCTGTTCGGGTTTGGGCGAGCGGTAGCTCGCTGCTCGGCGAATGCCGAATGTGTGGAGCCGCCTTCAGAGTGTAAGCATATATATCTATCTCGACGGCAACAAAATTTCAGCGCGTTAACAGGGACTATATGTTCTATCGTGCGGCAGTATTTTATAAGTCTATGACTCCTTTAATTTGGAGTGTAATATTTATTTGATTTCAAAACGGTGATTTCCAATATTTTTTTCTTCAGAAATGGCATAGTTATGAATAAAAGAAGATCCACAAAACAATTTGGAATCATTTTTTTATAAGTGTACTTACGTGCTCGTGTTTATTACAACAAATTATTTTGCTTTAATAATACCAAATTATCACCCGAGAAATAATTTAAATTTATATTAGGGTAACACAATAGTGAAGGATGACTGCAAGTGATAACTTATTATCTATTGCATGGGGGCAATCCGTGGCATAGTGGTCAGACTTCACGCCTTTCAGTGCTGGTGTCCGGGTTTGAAGTGGAATTTGTGGTGAACACAGCGGATTAGCGGCAGGAGTTCTGTGAACACCGTTTCCCTTGCCTTTTCACTGATATGCTACATCAATCATTCACTGTCGTATCTCATCATTAACCATCATTGCTCGGATCGAAGGTTCGCCGCGGTGTCTAGGCGTTAACGGAGGAACTGGCTGAGAATTGCCATGGCAATATCCGCGGGTTGTCGCTAGAGTGGGTCGCGGCTTGACGATCTAATCAGAGAGGAGGAAATAATGAGGGAGTGAAAGGAACTACAGGTGGGACGAGGGGTTCAGCTTCGTTGAAGCTTATCCCTGACAGGAGAATCAGATATTTTTGATAACTAGTGCATATTACTGAAAATATAGAATATAATATTACGAGTAATACAGTTTGAAGAATTTAAAAAAATATAATTTCGCATAGAGACTGGGAATTAAATGTAATGTTAATGTGTGTTTTTTTTTCTGCTTTCAGGTAAGTCAACAGTTCCGACGTCGCCAGCGTTTGTTGTCGTGCAGAAAGAAGATAAGACTCCGGACGTGAGTGACTCAAGCATACATCAGGCGCGTTTCATTTAGTCTAGACTGGGATCTCTTGAGCTCGCAGTGTGACTCACTGTGTGTTACGTAACAGGGTTTGTTGTACTGAAGGTAATCCTAAAATTGTAGCTCAAATGCCGAAAGAGATTCGTACTAGAGTTTTTATATCTATTTAGTTCTGAGTACAGTAGACTAAGCCGTCGGTGGCTAAACAATCAAAGAAATCCTCAAAGAAATCAAAGAATTTTATGCTTTTTTTTGCCTAATGTTGAATCGTATTTGTCCATATTGTGGTTACTGACACATTAATTGAACGAAAGCATTTAATTATTTATTGTGTTGTGCCTAAATAATGTAATGTGTAGTACTCAGATAATGTAATACAAATACTACAAATGAATGGAGGATATAATAATGGTCAAACAATTTTCACCAAGAGTAAAACTCAGGGTCATTAATGTAGTAAAAAATTTATAAAGATAAGTTGGTTTGAGTAGTGTGGGTTTTTCATTGCTTTCAATTGAGTACTTTTTTCTATAGCTTAAATATTTGAAATAAATATATCTGTTAGCATATGTTCCTAAAAGATCTGAACTTCAGTGGGTTTATTTTCATTTTGATTCTCTCATAGATGCATATTATCTGAATCGTAGCGTATGAATTCCGCTTTACAGCTTTTTGCAACTCTTGTTATTAGACATAATGTTTCATGTTTGACGTTATGTAATCTGAATCATCTAAGCGTGAAAAAACAAACATTGCAGTCTACCGAGCTGCCTCAACAAAATATTTCTTTAAGGAGGATTCAGGGCGTAACGCGTTTTTAAGTTAGTTACTATTCCGCGACATTACAGATTCTAGTGTCCGTTATCTTAAGAAAATTATAATAATATGCGAAAATGTGTGGGACGCATTGCTTACCGTACCATACCGACTCCGATATCGAAGAATCGGTAATGAAAAGTGGGTGGCGAAGATTTGGACATTCAGTTTCGTAGTTCACATAGGAAATGCTGGGTTTTAATTATTTTGGTATAAAACGACTTGAAGATTTTACGTTGGTCAGGGCGAAGAATGTTTCTTTCTAATCGCGTATATTGGATACTGGAGCCTCGTTATATACTTGAGGACGTGTAGCAAATCTTAGTGTGCCTGGAAGTATTCGGCAAGGGTTCGCGTCGTATTTATCACCTAGAATTTTAAGACGAAATGATGTTTTGCTTCACGTGTAAGATTTCCTGTCGAGTTTCCGACCTTTGGACAACACGATTGAACATCAAGCGTCATTTAGCTTGACAAACGTATAATTTCCAAGTATTTTACACCAAAATGCTTTTTAATTAATGAAAACACCCATTCGCATGTGAACTACAAAACTGTGTGACCTCATTCTTGACTTTCGTTGACATATCTTGCCACGTCTTGAGTCCCTTCGTTTCGATAAGGGGTTTTGGGTGGCAAAACTTCGTCCTTCTTTCTGTCACAGCGATAATGCATCTTACCCATTTGGGCATCGGGTGACACCTGCTTGCGAGGGTTGGTGGAAATGAGTTTGAAGGCTGAACGAACTCCAATTCACAAGAATTTTGTTCATCCCATCGCTGTTCGTCCACATAACAAAAGAATGTGGAGACAAAAGAAAATCAACCAAACTAGAATGGATTACTAATTTGAAATGCTCCACTGAAATTCTGCGCACCTGCACAAATGCAAAAAGTCCCAATTTACGAATTTATACACACATTGATGCATTTTGCTCGTGGGAAGCCTTCCAAAAATTCCTACGGACGACAAAACAACGTCAGCCAAAAAAAAATTCGAATCGCGCAGCGTGACTGTTCTGTTGGAACATTCGCAATTGATCTGTGTTGCATTGTGCGCGCTGAATAGCCCTCTTGAAAGCATTGTGGGTGACGGCCTTCCCTGTTATTCGACCTCGGAACGAGCATGGCTCTTTCGCAGGGCCCACTCGCAGCAATTTCTATGCTGCTAGAATTCCGCGTCATTCGATCGTCCTCGATTTCTAACCGACTCTATTTTTAAGAGCTTCCGCCCCACTCGCTCGCCCGCTGACTTACGCTATCACTCGCTCGATCGCTCGATCGCTCGCTCGATCGCTCGCTCGATCGATCGCTCGATCACTCGCTCGCTCGATCGCTCGCTCGCCCGCTGACTTACGCTATCACTCGCTCCATCGATCGCTCGCTCGATCGCTCGCTCGATCGCTCGCTCGATCGCTCGATCGCTCGCTCGATCGCTCGATCGCTCGATCGCTCGCTCGATCGCTCGATCGCTCGCTCGCTCGATCGCTCGCTCGATCGCTCGCTCGATCGCTCGCTCGATTGCTCCCTCGATCGATCGATCGCTCGCTCGCTCGCTCGATTGCTCGCTCGCTCGATCGATCGATCGCTCGCTCGATCGATCGCTCGCTCGATCGCTCGATTGCTCGCTCGATCGATCGATCGATCGCTCGCTCGATCGCTCGCTCGATCACTCGATCGCTCGCTCGATCACTCGCTCGCTCGATCACTCGCTCGCTCGCTCGCTCGCTCGCCCGCTGACTTACGCTATCACTCGCTCCATCGCTCGCTCGATCGCTCGATCCCTCGCTCGATCGTTCGCTCACATTGAAAATCGCCACTTGAAAGTGGGTGGAAACTAAATCTAGAATCCTCCTTTTTCCATTTTCATTCCAATTCTCTTAACATTTACAGTTCCGAAGACTCTGCCATGTTCACTGGCGTTGATAGTTTTCTCTCGAGAACATCTATTTGCATTACTCTTGAGTGGAAAGGTAACTCCATTGTTCCCTTCGTCCCTCTCTCGAATTCCCTTCGTCCCTCTCTACGAATCCGGGATACAATTGAGAGGTATGTAGCCAAACACAGGGAGATTTTTCTAGGAAAGAACTTTTGACAGCTGCTGCGTGGCTACTCCACACTATCTCTTCCTATGTCATCTGTCATGACGATAATTTGTTGTGCGACGTGTCAAACCAACCCCTTCTTGGAGTAACTAGTCTATATGTAAGGGGTTTGAATAGGCAACAGGGGTGCTGGGAAACCAGACCCCGGGACGAAATCAGGCGACTCCGCTATATCCTAGGATTTATTTAACCGTGCACTTGGCGTAAACCAGCTGTTCACGATTACATCCAGTCGGGAGCTTGAACCTCCCCATACTGATGTCACTGCAGCATCATTTAAGCTCCCGATTGTATGTAATCGCAACAGCTGATTTTTGTCAAGTACACGGCTAAATCAATCGTACTGTACTCCCTCCTATAATTCCGCTCACTTCTCAGCCTCTATGCCTCTACCTCTTCTTTGATTTTAGTTCCCTCCTTCACTCCTGGCCTTATTTCATTTTTCTCTTGCGCCACAATCTCTTCACCTCTCGGCCCTTGTCTCCTCCGTCTCCGCCCACGCAATCACCCACTCAAGTCTCCCCCCCCCTCCACTCGCCGTCGGCCAGCGGAGCTCTGCGCCCAATCAGATGCAAAGTACTGGTTACCGCGGGGGGATGGTCGCTTCGGGGCCCTGGCCGGGCTGAATCACGCGCCGCCCCCGCGTCGCGGCTCGTTAGATCCAGCCCCTCAAGATGGCCATGTTACGAACACGAAAATATGTTTTAATGAACGAGTCAATAGATGCGATAGATTCGTGACAAAGTTCCATCAATTTCGTAATAGTTATTTACGCACGAAGGGCGTTATAAGGGTTCTAATGATCAGAGCAGCGACAAAAAGCCTGAAGACTTTGGGCCCGAGAGCATTTGGACCGAGGGCTTTTTGTCGCCTGAGATCATTAGAAACAGTGACCGCTAGTTAGATTATTTTATTTCTTACCTAATTTTAATTATCATGTTTGATTATTTACTAATTAACTAGTTGAGAACTTGACTCAGCTCCCATAAGTCCCTCTCATAATTTCCTCTGTAAGGGAACATGTAGCAACACTCAACTGTTTTTTTTATTTTTCCTTAGTCACCACGATCCTCTCGATCCACGTAAGTTATGCAGCAAATATCGAGCTCCATATCGAAGCCAATAACAAGTAATAATCAGTACAAAATAAAAATGTAAATTTCACAATCACCTGAACCGTATGAGCGTGAAGGGGGTCGCAGACGCCGAAAAATCCGAAGGTGCAAGCCCGCTCTTGAAGGGCATTGTCAGACAGTCAGACATTGAAGATCACGCTCCGCTGCATTTGATCGGAGATTCGCGTCGTGACGTCTCGCAGATGGCGCCCCTCCGCGACAAAAAGAAGAGGTCGGCAGATTTTAAGTAACCTCGGACACGAAGCGGCTCAAACCAGCGCAGATGCACGTTTCCTCCTGCGGTGGTTCCACTTCGGTGTTGTTAATTAGGCTGATCACACGCTTCGGTACTGTTAATTAGGCTGAGACCACTTTCACACGACCTGTTGTTCCCGACGGAAGGACCATCTTCAGATATATAGCAGGCGTTTCAGAGGTATCAGACCTTTTGTTCGGCTCGTTTTCACTGTTAGTTGATATTAAATACACGAAAATATACCTCGAAATAGTGCTTTCAAGGTTGCGAAAAATAAATAAGCACTTGTTTGTGATGGAAAGTGGTGTGATATGATAATGCATGTCACTTTCGCGATAAGAATACACCGAAAATATTACATTTCATACTTTTCTTTAAGTTTACTTCATCTTCTGATAGTGGTTGAAAATAAGCCGGTATATACTATTGATTTTGTTTGCCAAATGAGTAGGAGAGATATCGTAAAAATACGAGGAAAATCAACTATTGAGAAAGAAAAAATGGTAAAATACATGGCACGTAGTTGCAGCATTATTTGCATTTATGTTAATTCTTACCAGAAATACTTCCTTAAATCAGGGGTTTAAAGAATCATTTGAATAAAAATTCATTAGTGATAGATTTATAATATTTTTAAAAAATGCTGAAGAAAAAAATGAATAAAATTTGAGGAGAAAACCCAATAATAAACATAAATTAATAAAAAGTATACTTTCGGGCATGTGCACCTGGTTTGATGCGCTTTGTACA